GATAGCCAGGCTTAGCTAAGTGCATCCCCCTTTGGGAGCTGTCCCTTATCAAAAGAAAACATCTTTAAATCAGCTTGCATGAATAGTTTCTCTGTGGCTGCACCACAGAGATGAACAGAGAGATGAGGCCTCATTTGGGAAAGCACAGAAACACTTAATTCTGTCTTATTAATAAGCCTCACCGCTACAGTCCCATGTCAATTATTTTAAGACATTTTGCTTCATATTCAATGCTGAGTTAGAATTAAAAAGTTAGTTATATTATTATTTATGTCCAGTGATATTGTTTTATGGACCTTCATTATTTTATTGGACTTCATTTAATGCAACAGCTGATGAGTGTGTTAGGAAGTAGTATGTTTTAATGCAGTATTTCATGTCTGATGTCTAACGGCTCCGAAGGCTTGGCTTAATGTGCAGATTTGTTTAATTCTTTCCAGAATTTGCACTAGGATCAAATGTGTTTGCAAGTATCATGATCCAACCTCTGATTTTTGACGATAATTTTTTTCTTTGATTTGCAGAGCAATAAGTGAAGATGAAATTGTACATCTCAAGGAGCAGCGATATGGTGCCATTTCAGACAAGCAGACACTGGTAGATGAAAAACTTCATTCGGAGGTAAATGTGTATGATATTTCATATATCACAGATGAGTGAGGTGCCATATTTGCTGAATTTACAGAAGTGCAGGATTATAGATTGATAGTGCTGTCTTTAACTGTTAAATGGCTTTTTGTTGTTTACAGAGGTTCGTATTCATGTGTATAGTGTCTCTCAGTCTTTTTAGTTAAATCTTGTAGGCATTTTTATACTGTTATGTATTATGCAATAACAGTATTAGTCTACCTGTGGAAAGAACTCTTAAATATCATGGTTGAAATGAACCACTCTGGTTTGTCAGTGCATAATGCCTTTAAGTCATTCTCTGATTCATCTACCATTGGTTAAAATATGCAACAGAAACCAAAATAAATGATAAGAAGATTGAAAGAAATCTAGATAGCTTTGCTTGATCACTGATAGATACACGTGAGCAATCTTTTTACCGTGTTTCAATTTCATTCCTAGTAGAGCTTTGGATTAAAGACAATATAAGGTTTAATTAAAAAAGATAGATTATCAGGAAAAAGCACCTGCTTCTTTTGACCACCTTGTTTTATGAGTTTTTTTTGTTTTGATTTTGCAGTTCTCCATTTTGGATTTGCTTTTGCCTTTCTTTTGGTGTTCCGGCAAGAGTCCGCTAACAGCCTTATTATTTGATTTCTGCGCAGTTAGCTGCACAGGAGGAGAAGTTGAGGCTAGAAGAGGAGGCTTTATATGCCGCCCAACGTGAAGCAGCCAGAGCTGCCAAAGAGAGAAAGCAAACGGAGGTGAGGGGGTACAGAACACCCCTGTCCTGTCACTGTCCCACCCTCCAATCTGTCATACTACTGTATATACTGTGATCTTGGTGGGTTTACACTTGGCACTAGCCAGACCGAAGCCTGGCTTTTGAGCAAGATGGCTTGCAACATCACATACAGAGTTTGAGAGGCTATTGGTTCAAGTTCAAGTTTATTGTCATTATTGTCATGGTATAACGAAATGCTATTTCGCTAGCTCTCAGACCATAAGTAGTACAACAAACTAAAACTATGATCCCCCTGGTCCCATTACTTCATTTTGTGTTTAATACTTAACTATTGCATGGTGACTGGTTTTCAGAACACAGTTGTTTGAAGAGGCTGGCAAACATTCTAAGCTCCCTGTTTTTAAAGGTGTGGCTAATCTGCTTGTGCTTTAAAGTCCACTATCAAGAAACTGATTTCTCTTTGTGTGGCTTTAAAAACAAATGTGACCAAGAACGCTCACGATGACCTCTGTAAAGCTGCAAAAGAGCGTCGTCTGGTAGGTATGACTGGCCAACAGATTATGCCATTTAGTAAGCCCCTTGAATACTATTTACAGTGCAGGCTAAGTGGAAAGCACCTGTGTCCTTTCCTTTTCTGAAATCGGACATTCCCATCACATTGCTGGGGATATTGGGAGCAAGAAATTTCTGTTTTTAAAAAAGCATTGCGGATAACTGACTGCGAGCATTTATTGAAGGCATATATATCTACATTTTTTCAGTTATCTGCACTTTCAATAATTGCTAGCAGTTATATGCAATCAGTTAGTCTAAATTGCACATACCAGTTTGTCGGTTCGTATGCCAGAGTAATGTTGGCACTTTCTGTGAATAAAGCTGTTTTTTCCAAGATACTATAGGCCACAAATGACAGAGATGAGGACTTTATAGTTAGGTTTACAGTATATGCAGAATAAATAGAATTAACATCTCAGACTGCCCTTGCAATATTAGATGCTGTTTTGCCTGGGGAATGATACAAAGCTGTTTTGTGAAAATAACAGTGTACAAGTAATGATTGATGGCTATTAGGAATTGCTGCCATTAACTGCCAAGTGTAAACCTACCCTTGCACTGCTAAAGACCATTGAATCGCAAGCTACATCACAGCCAGTGATGTGGACTAAAAATTCAAGGTTCAGGCTTGTTTATTCTTGGTAAAAAATAATTTTATTATTTATATTTTTTGGAGCTTCTTCTTCTCATTCATCTTTTCACTTCCTTCTCTGCTACATATTTTAAAATGTTTTTTTAATGTTTCATTTACTGTAGCTTTCTTTTTTCATTTGTTTTTGTTTCATTTGCTTCAACCCTTCCCATAGACTGACTTTATATTCCAAAAGGGATATTTCCCTTAGACAGGTCCAGGTATAGTTTTTGATAATATGAATGACAGTTCTACGATAATCTGTAATCATTATCATAGTTTTGAATGCCAGTCCCCTTTTTTACCTTTTATGTGCAAATGAGAATTAGATGTCAAGATAAAATGCTATTTTCTTTCACAGCAAATTCAATGTTAAAAGACTAGTAAGAAAGTGTGTCAAAGTTAATAGTTAATAATGTAATATAGGGCTACATATCCAGAGCAAGTTTGATTGTTAATACTGCAGATTACCATTAGTTGTATACACTGAAAAGTTTTGAATGCCTTGTGTCTATTGTGAAAAATGTTTTTTTTTAAACAGCAACGGATCCAGAAGATAAAAGGAAAGTCAGATGTAGGAGGGAGTAGTGATCATCAGAGAACGTAAGTAGGCATCCTGTTCATATACATGAGTCTAGATTTAGTAATGTGAGAATTTGGCATGTGTTCTTTAATAATCGTACCAGTTACGTGAAGGGTTAATATAACTACTTCAGCTGCTTTTGCCAGTTTCTACAGTTTCAATTTTATCTTAGAAAACAAGTTCCACAAAACAGTTGCATGTTAAAGATTAATTCTAACCTAAAGAAATCAATTTCCAGGTGTAACAACAGCAGTTGCCTCTTCTTCAGCTTCTGTTACACTGTGCGATAAAATCAACCACATTGCTCCTGGTATCTACACACCTCCTTTAGTTGCCCACAAAACACAGAAGATGAAACGGATATTTAAACATTTTTAACGTATATCTGTGTCAATTAAAACTTCTGGCCTGCCTTCAAAAGCACTTAATGAAAATATTTGTTTTTGACAGGATTGAAATAAGTTTAATTATAATTATAATGTTTATTATTTGAGGCAGTATTGTAGTTAATCTTCATTTGCCCTTTAACTCCTCAGTGGGTTCTGTATTATTTTAAAGAATCATAAAGAAATATTCTTGAGAATTTTAGGAGGACATTGTGTATGAATAATAAGATTCAAAATAACATTTTTTTAATGCCTTTGAAAGGTCAGTATTCTACCACTCTGTGTGTTCTTACTACATTTTGTTTTGCATGTCCTGCATTGGCAAAAAGAAGACATGCTAGATTACACATTTAACAATTGTGAAATCATGATCCTTTTTCACTCTTTCTGTTCCTGCTCCGATCCTTCTGTGTGAATTTGTAATTTAATATTTTTGGTGGTGGGAGACCCAATCTACAGTATCTGTGTTCCCAGTTTCTGATTTTTTCTAAGAAAAATTGAAAAAATAAATGAAATAAAAAAATAAGAAATGTTCACAAACTTTGTTTTTAATTTTTTGGCAGGTTAGCCGCAGGAGAGGATTTTGAAACCTACCTGCAGAATGTAAGAGCTCAGTCTGACGCCTTCAGGAGCAGCAGTAAGTGATGTTCAAACATCTACCCATCAAAGAGAAGAGACTTTCTCTTGTGTCGTTTTCTTTAATGGCCTTGAGAGATACATTAAAGCTGTCCAAGATGCCATTTGAGTATGTCTAGTGATATACTGTCGGTAAACTAGAAATATAGTCTTTATCATGTGGTTGACATTTTAGAATGCAAACAAAGTTTGAGACTTGGAAGCACTTTCCAGAAACATTTGGGTTCTTTTGAGCAACACACTGTCATGTGGATTTTTTTTTTACAGCAATCATTATCCTAGATCTTTGACGGGGCATTATAAACAGCAACCCGCCAAAGATGTCACATATGTGAACAGCCTTTGTTCATATCAAAACACAAATGTATTGTGATTATCAAGTGCTATTACACCCATATACTGTATATTCTGTTGAAATATCAGGATTTAATAGATATATGTACATAATAAGTGTTTAGTAGATATAAGATAAGATCACTTTATTGGCCAGATACAATTTCTTGTATTAGGAATTTGTCTTTTTGCATACCCCAACTTGCTCTGCATGAGACGCACAGACACAGAAAGGGAGAGAAGCTTGGGGACAGAGCCCAGGGTCAGCCATTTATATGGCGCCCCTGGAGCAGTTGGGGTTCAGGGCCTTGCTCAGGGGCCCAACGGCGTAGGGGTCCTCTCCCAGCCGAGGGATACGAACTGGCAACCTTCCAGGCAAAGGTGCAGATCCTACACTCAAAGTTCAGTTGTCCTGCTTAGTCTGTAAAAGATTATATTGGAATTGATTTGTGAACATGATATAGGTTGTGTTTGATCTAATAAAAACACAAATGCAGTAAAACAGAATTTCAGGTTTGAAACAGTCCCTCAAAGATGATGACAACCACACAATAAAATGTGCCCCTAGAGGAGGCAGATTTTTCCCACAGGCAACACAGAGCACTGTGCTGAAAGTTAATTATTTTTTAGAAAAATTAAAAATAGCAAAAATTGTTTAACCTTGAAGTAAAAAAAATGAATAAGAATAAAGAATAGTCTCCACTCACAAAGGGACAACTGAGATGACCACCACAATGCTGATCATTTAGATAATGTACCTTCTTCCAAATTAATGAAATTAGCTGTTTAAATAAGACAGATCCTATAAAAGGAAAACATAGTATTTCTTTACTTAACTTGTATGGGTGGCCCAGGTAGTAAATTCCCCTACACTACCATATTGGTCGGGCTAATCCACTGCTAACAAGCTGCATCAAAGCATGCAAAATGTAAAAAAAAAAACAGAGATGGCAAAGCACACCCAAACACACTAAGATAAGCACAATCTTTACAGTAACTTTACAAAATCAAGGAGATGTGGAAAACAAGCTTTGTTGAGTATAAAGTATGTATTTTAGAATCATGGGGGTGAGTACCCATTCATCACATTTTGTTATACTAACAGATGTTAGTGTTAGAAAAACAATTTGTCTTGTTTTTTGTAGACTTCCCTTTTTGCTTGAATCATAAGGCTTTAGCAAGTGGTGTAATGAGAAAATACAGCCATACAGACAGGAATTAAACTTTAGCACAGGATACATTAATATCATTATTTGATCTTTTGTCTCTTATCAAAGCCATTTCCCTTTATAACATATCACTCATGTCAAAGAAAAAGCTCATTTATAACCTTCCTTAGTAGGTAATTAGAATAGAATACATCCCCACTGCCTTGTAGAGATAAGATATCTGTGCACTATCCCTACACATAAGGCAATAAAATGACTCAATACTGTCTGAAGTTTAATCTTAACATTGTGTTTATGAAAAAATATAAATTTCCGTAAATATTACTTATATTAAGTAATATACTTTCAGATGTTGTTTTTCTCTCCAATGCAGTCATTCAGAGCTAAAGTATTGGAATATTTATGGTTGTGAGACTAACTTTAAAGACCACTTCAGATGACTGTCATTGAGCTACTGTAAAAGTTTATTTTTGTTGCAAATAGAATGATCTTTTATTTTATTTAGTGATTTTTTAATGATTCACAAGAGACCTTTGTTCATTATAATAATATACAAATAATAAAAACAATCCTAAACTACTTCACAAATAGGTAGGGACCCATGCCATCTATCAGTGAGGTACCATGGTGTGCCAGCATGCCACTATACAGAAGATGAACTATGCTGTAGCATCTTTAATGAGCAAGTAGTGTAATGCCTGTGGTCTTAATCAAAGAACTGTATATTCTATAGCACAAAGCCACCACTTACTATACTTGCTATGATTTTTTTAAATTAAGGATCAGAGGGATTAAGGTTCCCTATTGGTCCACATCACCTATAACAGCCTTTGAAGGACTGTACAGGCCTAAGCTTGCTAAACTTCTGAGATCTGACAAAAAAAGGTTTAGGTGGTTGTAATTAGAGTAATTGTAATCACTGTGGGTGTAAATCTGTGTTTTCACTGATATCATGGTCAGGGTACTATGAAGCCTCCAGGTTGTGCTGCTCACAGACTGTATCAGTGTTTTTAACTGTCTCAGACTGTATTCATGCTTGTTATACTGGTGCTATAATATGAAGATGTAGACAGAAGTTTATAACACTTATTCCCGGTTTGAACCGTTAATTTACGTTGTCCATATAACTACTTGCTACAACAAATGTATGTCAAATTTATGTCCAATAAACTTTTTACACTTTGTAAACTAAATGAATTGGTGCCAACAGCTGTATGGTAGATTTACAACTATTGTGTATAGAATGCTCACCGCATTTTCAGGATGTTCCTACAGTTGCAAATTGTTTGGTTTAACACATGCTAAAGCTGGAAATATTTTTGGAAGGTTTGCATATCAGTTAAAATAATCCCATTGAAAAAGTTTATGAATTTCCATAGAACGTTTGTTTTTCCGTGAGATTGTCATTACATTTATTTCCAATAGCCAAATGGTGAAGAAAATCTTTTGCATACATTTGCATATTTCATCAGTACATTATTCAAGCCTGAGCACCGGTTAGTAAAATCATTTTCTTTGACCAGCAGATGATGAATGAAAATTAGCTGCAGGGAGATGGAATAATGAACTCAGTTTACCAGGCTTAAGAAATGTTGACATAATTTTCCTTTTTTTTTTACATCTCCCAATTCTTTATTTGCTTAGATACAGTAAGCTGTAAACAAGGCTTTTATTATTCTGATATGCATGTAGACGTACACTGCATAGGTTCAGGAAGTTCAGCTGTTCAGCTTGTTAATAAGAGTCATCATCATCCTAACTGAACATGTGTATTTCAGTCCATATCTGTCTAACTTACCTTTTTCTGGAACTCTCTTTTAAGTTGCATTGTTTTATTTGAGAATGCTGTTATGGCCGAGTGCAATAATGAGGTGTCATTGATAGTGATTCAGATTTATTACTCTGTAACCATAGTTCTTGCTGTTTGCTTTCCACCAGGGGTCTCTTCAGAGACCAACGTGGCAACTCCAAACACAGAGAGCAGCTGTGATTTCACAAGTAAAACCAGGTCCACCAATGATGACAACACTTCGCTGGATCTGGAGTGGGAGGATGAAGAGGGTAAGAATAGTTATATCCCAGTGACATAAATGCAAATTTCTATGATTCATCCTACGTTTGCTGCATCCTACGTTCCTAATAAACGTATGTTTTATTTCTAAATAAATCTATCAAGTAATTTTCTAAAAATAATTTTGTACATTTCTGCACTCCTCTGTAGTTTTTATTATTAAATGTAAATTTGCAGTGTATTCCCATCTGCAATATACAGTAAATCTAAGGGGGCAGAACAGTTATAATAATATTATTGTTATTGTTATTATTAATAATAATAAACTTTATTTTATATAGCACCTTTTAAGGTGGCTTCTCAAAGCATTTTACAAAATGACAACAACAACAATTAAAAATAAACAATAAAAAATACACAAGATAAACACGATGAGAATACGCAGAGGAGACAGTAGATGGTGGTACTAAATACAGTAGGAGCAGAATAGAACCAGTTAAGTAAAGGCTGTTCAAAGAAGAAGGTTTTGAGTCTGGATTTGAAGGAGTTTAGAGAAGGTGACTCTCTGATATCCTTGGGGAGAGAGTTCCAGAGTTTAGGGGCATAACAGGAGAAGGCCCTGTCACCCATAGAATGTAGATGAGCTTTGGGGACAGTTAGGAGACTAGAATTAGAGCAGCGAAGGTTGTGAGATGGGGAGTAGGGCGATAATAGATCAGATGGGTACTGAGGTGCCAAGCCATGTAGAGCCTTATAGGTGAGCATAAGGAATTTGAAGTTGACACAAAACTTGACAGGAAGCCAGAGCAAGGACTCCAGGATAGGAGTAATGTGAACACTTGCACTAGACCTGGTCAGGATTCTGGCTGCCGAATTTTGGACATGCTGGAGTTTGTTCAATGTGGATTTAGATACCCCAGTGAGTAGAGCATTTAAGTAGTCAATACGTGAGAAGACAAATGTGTGGATCATCTTTTCAGCCTCAGTTAGTGATAACATAGGGTGTAGTCTAGCACCCTATGTAATGCAGTGGTTAGCATTGATGCCTCAAAGGTCAAAGCTCTGGGGCCCGGGGTTCAATTCCTGGTGTGCTATCTGCATAGTGTGTTTACGTGGATTTTCTCCGGGTGCTCCAGTTTCCTCCCACAGTCCAAAAACATACTGGTAGGTTTATTGGCTTGTAGGAAAAAGTGTCCCTGGTGTGAGTGTGTGCGTCTCTATGTCTGTGATGGTGTCTGATTAGGGTGTATCCTGCCTTGTGCCTGTTACTTGCTTGGATAGGCACTGTCCCCCTTCTCCAACCATGACCTGGATAAAGAGGTCAGAAAATGTAGAAAATGAATGAAATATGCTTGGTTGGGAAACTGTAATGTTAAGTCTAAGGTTTAACTGGGACATTATCATCATCATTTAAAATATTTCTGGCAATAAAAAGTCATGTGATCAAGGGATGAAAGAGGTTCAGGTACTTTTGCATACCTTGTCTGTCCACAATTTACGTTTCAAAGGGATGGTTCTTCATTCAGGCTGTTAATAAACGATTACATTGGTGATGCTATTTGGTGGTGATTGGCATTAAACATTAATCTAAATGTAAAACAGGTTAACTTTGTCTATGTAGTAATAAATACGGAAATATGGGATTTATCTTTAAAGCATTTTTTATTTGATTTTGAAAATGCTTTTGTAACAGACTTCTCTGCTTCATAAGACCTAATGTCCTTGAGCCAGTTTTTAAATGTAAGAGGTAAAGAAATTAATAGTTTTATTGTCTGCCCTTGTACTGCAGATCCTCAATTTAACTTGTGGACCAGCATTGTGGTTTTTCTTTTTTTTTTACCACAGTCTACAGTTCTTTGCTCAGATAGCATTTTTGAGCTCAACTGATTTTACCCTTGACACATCTAAAATGCCAACACCGGTTAGGTGTTGACCAATTTCAAAACTGTTTGTTTTTGTGGTTAACAGACTTACACTTTATAAGTGACTCTGATTATTGTAAACCTTCTTAGCATTGTAGTTTGTTCACATATCCTTATACAGGGTTTTTTAGATAAAACTTAATTGAAAATATTTTTACTACATTTGCCATAGCCCTGTAGTTTCCCTTGTTTATTTAATCATAATTAGTTGTCAAAACAACCCAATGGAGTTATGGCTTGAACATAAATGTTTCAGAGCAGTGTTTAAAGTTTCTGTATTGACATTTAAAAATAATTTTATTTAGGTGTCTCAAGAATATGAATCTATGTTTTCTAGGATGTGCTTTAAGTGAAGAAAAATAGTAACTTTTTGTTGCGAGATAGATTTAACTATTTTTTCCTAAGAATTTGTTAACACTCACCTCCAGTGTTAAGAGATAGTACAGTACCTACAGTATGCCCATAACAACTTCATGACCTAACATAAACATCAGCTAATGCACATTTGCATTTCCTCTTAAACATTTTCTGGGAAACATCCTGCATAACTGTATTTAATAGTGTATAAACTGGATGGTAGATCACTATATTTGTGTGCTTTTTTATTGACTAGATCTTTAATGTGTGTATGAGAAGTAGCCCACCCTGATCTTGAGCTGTTAGCCAACAGGTCTTGCAATTCACCCTTAAATAATTTAGAAGGAACATTGATAACATAACAGAAAATAAATTCAATTTTGTAAGTTAATTAATGCCATTAAGGCAGTAATGTGCATTTGTGGTCCTTGAGAGCTGGAGATTGTTGGAGTTTTCATTTCACATTCAGCTCAGTGGCTCAATGGTAAGCATTGTTTGTCTCGCAGTGCTGGGACCCTGGGTTCAATTCCAGACCTGGGGTGCTGTCTATGTGGAGTTTGTATGTTCTCCCCAGGTGCTCCAGTTTCTTCCCACAGTCCAAAAATGTACTGGTAGGTTAACTGGCTTCTGGGAAAATTGGCCCTGGTGTGAGAGTGTGTATGTCTGTGTCTGTGTGATGGACTGGCATCCTGTCCAGGGTGTATTACATCTTGTGCCTGTTGTTTTCAGAGGTAAATTCTGGCTCTCTCGTGACATTGTATTGGATGAAGCGGTTAGAAAATGGATGAATGGGTGATCTCCAAAGTACCTAACTAAACAATTCACCTGTTTCAAAAGTAATCATTTGTTCCGAGTACTTAGACAACAATGATTCATGGGTGATTCATGAAACTTTGGGGATTTTGGTTTTTGGGGACTGGGGTTGACCTTCCTTAGTGTATAGTCCAACAGGTCTTTAAGTTCAAACGGTCTGGAAAATACGTCTGTTGGTTCCATTGTAGATTGATGGCAGATGTTGTATTTATATTGTTTTAATTGTGCATGAAACAGTTTTTATACATTTTCTTTCCCCACAGGGATGAACAGGATGATTCCCGTTAGGGAACGTTCTAAAACGGAAGAGGACATTCTTCATGCTGCTCTCAGGCCCACTAACAAGCAGACAGGCAGCAACCTTACATCGGCCTCTGAAGACTCCAATGTGCTGGAGTGGGAAAATGACTTTGTGAGCGCCCATCTAGAGGACCATGGTAACTCAGAGTATGCTGGCTTTGTCAATCCCGTCTTAGAGACTTCCTCTGCTGACACGGACAAATCCAGCTCTGACCCACAGGACAGATAGTTGGAGATGGAAGACCTTCTTTTGACCAAACTGATTAACTTAATGTATACATAAGTTTAGCTATTTAATTTATTCAGTTTTGTTTTGCCTTTTATCACAGCTGGAGAGGTTGGCGCTGAATCTGTTGTATTCAGACCATTTTCTGTCAGCATAATGAATTAAGTGCAATTTGTATATCCATTGATCTGCTCTTAAGACACTGCTCTGGGATAGGCGAAACAGCTTTTTAAATTTCACTATAGCAGCATTAAGACTGTAAATCTGTAACATTATTTTATGAATTGTTAGTAGAGTGAAGACAAAATTAAGGCTTTTGAGTGGCTCAGCTAGTAAGGGTGCTCATTATAAGTGCAGGAAGAGCCTCTGTGGCTGACTGTCATGGGTTCAACACTGGGTCATATACTGCAACTAGTCAACTATGTCTACATTTCCCCAAGCAGTGGCACATATTTGGTAGAAAGCTGCCAGCATAGGGTTGAGATTATGAGACCAGGTGTTGTCAGTGAAATGGCAGCTTAATGGATACTTGCAAGCTTACACTTACATAAGTGAAGGACCCCCTGCTCCTCCATGTCGAAAGAAGAATGGTGTGTAGGTTGGAGGAGTTTGTCCATCCTTATTCTCTCCTAGCAGTGCAGTTTAGTGGTTAACGCTCTAAGCAGAGACATGGAGAAACAATTGGCATTTCTACATGGTGCAGATATAAAATGAAGACAGAGCTGTTGCTATTGCTAAGTGTTCATGACCCCAAAATAAGAGTATGGCTTTCTAGTGAGGCTTTTAACATCAAAAGCCTTCTACAGATTACAGCACATTAACCAGTCAAATTAGCAAGAGAGATTAATTTGAGAAGTAAACTATTCATCTTTTGTTGACATTAATTTGTTAATTCAGGGAAGTAGATTTTTAAATCCTGAAACCTCATTGCTTTATGGATTACTTTGCTTTACACTGAGGTTGTAATAAATATTTGCTCTCTTTTATCACTCTAATTGGATAATGATGGATTTTCATTTGACATTCCTTGGCTTTTAAAAAAGAAGATGTGACCAAAAGTTATTTTCTCAGCCAAAGCTTTGAATCATGACAACTGGGGAATTTCCTACCAAAGTAGAAATTATAAGGAAGGGAAAGAAAGTTTTTAAGGTGCCTTTTGCTGTCAGCTGTCTTTGGCCTTGTACATTACAGTTTCAAACTTCCTGTAGGCCTCCCATATTGCTTTTGTGATCCAAACTACGTCACTGAGAGTCCTGCAGTTAACCATGCTATTTTTAATATCATCTTAAATAATTCAGTGTTTATAACAGATACGGTTGACAGATTGTTTCTAAACAAACCTGTAACGCGGTATTTCTGTTTGCACTTATTCCAGGCTTTATCATGAACTTGGCAAGTAATGGGATGACAACCTCAGTAAAAACTTACCAGTACAAATACAATTATATAAAAGTATCTTAAAGGTATAATAAATGAAATGATAAAAGGCATACTCCCCATAAAAAGTCATGCACATCATAATAAAATGATTCAAGCTGAAGGAGTTGTATATTGTCTGTTTGGATACCTCAACATCATGTCATTTTCAGCCAGAGATAGATTAAAACAGTTTTTCATCAGCCATTCTGTACTTTTCCCTTAAAATGCAAACTTTTATATCAACATTTTATATGAGAAGAACATTGTCCCAGGGTGTTAGTAAGCGTTCACAGTTCTTTGTTTGAGTAGTCCAGCTCTATTGGATGATATTCTCAAATTGAATCACCCATCTGCCTTGTATATTCAGTAGCAGATCATCCCTCCTAAGGTTCCTCCTAAAGTTTTCACTTTCATAATTTTACGACAACATTTGTTTGCACTCTGGCCATCAGGATATTATTTTTTTAACTTTGTCCAGTGCAGTCATAGACTAAGATAAATAGTTAAACCTTGTTGTGGGTCCTGATTTTTCATGAGCTAGGAAAGTGCTTAAGAATTTGGAGAAAATGATTACAATACGTGTTGAAATCCCTAGTCTCAGTGACAGCTGTTCTTTGTTTATTCACCAAGCTGTTATAAGTTTTTCTGGGGCTAAGTTATCCGTAACTGAAGGGATGCAGGTTTTTATGGAGAACTCTCACAAGCATAAATTCTCAGGTGAGATGATAGAATTATTTGATAATGGTTTCAAAGTGACCAAAGAAAAAAAAGATTAAATGCTGGCTTTAGATCATGTGTAAGTGCCCAGAAGTATGATGGTCACTGATTCTGAGCAACCATTACACATTGTTTTCTTGTGAGACACTTTTGATTATTTTAAATGTATGCTTTAATACTACACCACTATTATAGACTTTTGGTACAAGCACAGAGTATAATGGGATGAGGTGATTAGGAGCTGAGTTGTAATGAAAAACATCAGGACACATACTGTACCAGCTCTGAAGCACACTGTGCTAGATTAGTGTAACATGCGCCTTTTTCAAATCAGTATTGTAAGTACATTTTCTAAACCAGGCCTTTTATGAATTACTAAAAGGTGAAGTAGCACTACGTACTCTGTCTAATTTTATGCTGTTTTGTAAAATGTTTATTTGCAGTTGTGTTCATTCTCAAATACTTGAAGTCATCATTCAGACACCTTTGCTTGTATTGTAATTACTATTTAGACTCTATGAAGCAGACTTTTTTTCTAGAACATGCAGTGCTTTTGCATTATTCTGGTTTTATTCTGCCATGTATAAATAAAATATTCTTAAGAAATGAAACCAAAAAGGACTGTGACTTTATTCATATTACTACATCCACACACATTGTATTTAGACATTCCTCCTCGTTTACCAAGCATCAGGACTATCAAAAAAAGTGAAGATTTATTTTAAATTTTTGAATGAATTGTACTAATGCATATTTAATTCTTTTGAATGTAATGTAGAACAAAAAGCTATGCAGAGAAATAAATTTAACTAATGACAATATAGAGTGCCACATCTTCCATTTGTCTTTTTTTAGATTTACCGTTCCTGTGTTTGTGCATGATGAATAACATTGGGAAAGACAAATATTCCATCCTGTTAAATGCTTCCCTTTAAAAATAAAAGGTGATAATTATTGCCAGGTTTAGGTAAATCTGATCATAAACCAGTATTCATGTTTTGACCAGCTTTACTGCAGAAATGTCATGGAATCAAATGGAGGATCTCATCCTTCTGCCTAACAGCAGTAAGGTTAATGGATTTTCAATGACACAAAGGTTTTTTCTTCCATATACATGATACAGAATCCTTTGCTGGTTGAATGAATAATGAGATCTTGTAGGTTCATCTTGTAGTGCTTATTTATGTCCTTTCTAAAGTGATTCCTAGAACAAATGAAGAATTTTTGTCAGAAGTACATGGAACAGGGGTCTTCCTGGTAGTAGGCCTGCTTAGTAGAGCCCTCTACAGTAACATCTATATTGAAAGATTCATTATGCGTGAGATAGATTCTATATTAGCAAGTAACCATGATGTAATTGGAATCAAAGAAACATGTCAAATGAAATAAAAAAAAACATTGGTAGATGCAAAGTGTTTTTGGGAGAGGCAGGAAAAATGAACACTGTAGATCTAAATGAGTATTCAGGTGCCAGGATTTAACCTAGAATCTAGGCTTTCCGACTTCAATACAGGCCTGACTTTCAACATTCAAAGGACATAGAGACATAGAGACCAACAAGTACAAATGTTTCATCATTTTATAATGAAATCATCAGCAGCAGAAAGCATAATGACTACTACCTTACTGGGTCTGTCAAAGCACCAACAAGAGAGAATGCCTGTGATGATGTAGGCATTTCAAACGAGATAATGAAATGAAAAATGAGGAAAACGTGGAGGTGAAGCATCCCCAGGGAAGAGATATATACAGTATGGTGGGTACTATAATATGGTATGCTTTGATGTATACTTTAGAAGTGTATAGGTATAGTAAAACATTTACAATTTGAGGCAAGGCTATGACATAGCACACTGTGACAGAATGAGCCAGAGCTGAAGACAAAATGAAATTGGGTAGAAATTATACAGAATCATCAGGGAGTAGTTTGCAGCTATTTAAAGGTATTCTGCTTGAGACAAGTGACAGATTAATTCCAAAAGAAAGTAATTCAATGGCTAGCAAGCAGTGGCCCAAATGCTTTAAGAAATCAGTTCATACACTTAAGTATAAAAATATCACTTTACAAAGTATTCCAAAAGTTCAAGTTCAAGTTCATATTTATTTGTCATTCTAGCCGTATACAAGTATACAGTGGAATGAAATATCACTCCTCCTGGTCCACGGTGCAAATACAGACAGGACAGACAGGACACTGACATAGACATCGTACACAGGATACACATAGTGCAAAGTGCAGATAGTGCAAATCCCTAATACAATATACACAACACACTGGGGGGATTTAAACCCTGTTTCTGGAATTGGAGTGGGTGCAAGTAGATTCCAGGGTGTTGAGGAGCCTGACAGCCTGCGGGAAGAAGCTGTTACAGAGTCTGGTGGAGCTAGCACGTACACTGTGATACCTTTTTCCATATGGTAGGAGGACAAAGAGTTTATGGGAGGGGTCATTTACTGGAGGCCCTGTGTAAGCTGCGTTTGTAATAGGTCACAGAAATGGAAGGGAGGGAGGCACCTACATGTATGATCTTTTCAGCTGTTTCCACAATTCGTTGCAGGGTCTTGCGGTCTGAAGCGTTGCAATTCCCAAACCAAACAGTGATACAGCTGGTCAAGGTGCTCTCAGTGGTGCTTCTGTAGAAAGTGGTAAGAATGGGTGGGGGGAGGTTTGCCCTCCTCAGTCGCCGCAGGAAATAGAGTAAACAGCTGCTGTGCTTTCTTGGTTGGGGAGGTGGTATTGAGGGACCAAGTGAGGTCATCTGTAATGTGTACGCCAAGAAACATGGTGCTTCTAACTGTCCCCACAGGGGAGCTGTTGATGTACAGTGGGGAGTGATCAGTGTGGACCCTCCTAAAGTCACTGATTATCTCTTGTTTTGTTAACGTTAAGAGATAAGTTGTTGTTTGTGCACCAGTCCACTAGTTGCTCCACATCCTCTCTGTATGGTGACTCACTTTTTGTTGCTAATGAGGCCCACCACTGTCATGTCATCGGCAAACTTGATGATGCAGTTTGAACTGTGCTTGGCAGTACAGTTATGAGTCATCAATGTGAACAGCAGTGGGCTGAGCACACAGCCCTGGGGAGTTCGGTGTTCACTGTGATGATGCTGGAGATATTATAACCGATCCAGACTGTCTGAGGTCTCTCAGTCAGAAAATCCAGAATCCACTTACAGAGGGAGGTAAGGTTCAGCAAGCTCAATTTTTCTGTCAGCTTCTGGGGGATGATTGTATTAAATGCTGAACTGAAGTCAATGAAAAGCATTCTTATATAAGAGTTTTTCTTATCCAGGTGAGACAGGGCCAGGTGAAGGGCAAGAGATACAGCATCATCATTAGACCGGTGAAGCGGTATGCAAACTGAGGCAGGGTCCAGTGGGGTAGGGAGTCTGGACTTGATGAGGCTCATGACTAGCCTCTCGAAGCTCTTCAGGATAAGTGGTGTGAGTGCCACAGGGCGAAAGTCACTGAGGCAGGACACGGATGATTTCTTCAGCACTGGTATGTGGTAGATTTGAAGCATACGGGAATGGCCGCTTATCACAAAGAGATATAAAAAAGATCTGTGAGGACATAAGCTAGCTGTTCTGCACATTCCTTGAGCACCCGACCAGGTATATTGTCGGGTCCAGCAGCCTTACATGGATTAACTTTGGCTAGTGTCCTCCTTACATCAACTGTGGACAGGCAAAGCACCTGATCATTGGGAGTAAGTGTGGTTTTCCTTGCAGGCACAACATTCATTGCTTCAAACTGTGCATAGTTGTTCAGCACATCTGGGAAGGAGGCATCACCGATCTCTGACACGTGGGGTAGTCCTGTAATTAGTAATGGCCTGGATGCCCTGCCACATGCGCCGGGTTTCTCTGGTGTCCAGGAAGTGGCCATGGATTTTTCGTGCATAGGTGCGCTTTGTCTCCCTGATGGCACGGGACAGGTTGGCCCTTGCAGTCCTGAGGGCTGCCTTGTCGCCTGATATGAATGTAGCATCACGGGTTCTTAGCAGTGCATGGACCTCTGCAGTCAGCCATGGCTTCTGGTTGGCCCGTGTGATGGTGGATTTGGAGACAGTAATGTCATCTATACACTTACTGATGTAGCCAGTCACAGATGCTGCATACTCCTCTAAATCAATGAGATGCTCATAGGTAACAGCCTCCCTGAACATATTCCAGTCTGTGTGCTCAAAACAGTCCTGTAATGCTGAGATGTCTCCATCTGCAATACTCTGATCTGTTTCAGAACTGGTTTGGCACGTTTGAGCAGCGATCTGTATGCTGTGATTAGCATAACAGAGATGTGGTCAGAGTAGCCCAGGTGAGGGCGGGGAACAGCCTTGTATGCATCACAGATGCTTGTGTAAACTAAGTCTAGTATCTTCTCACCTCAGGTTGCAAAGTT